TGTGAAATATGTGTTTTGTATGTAACGCCTACAACTTGGGGGTATAGAATCTCTGATCTCGCTAGATGTCTATAAGCTTTTTGAATCTCTACAAGTTTGCTTCGGAATAAAAGAGTATACCTCTTTGAATCTCTGGTTCATTCACTCCCATCTGGTGCACCCTATTATGTACTTATCTACCATATTAATGCAGTCTTGATCAGTCAAAAATACTCAGATCGTTATTCATTAGCATACTTAAGCCCGAGTTACTTTATATGTCGAATTCAACTTGCATTTTTGACTTTACGAGTTAAAATGTACAACCCTCCCGCTGTTAATCACAACGTTTCATGCTAGTACAGTATTCGGGGTATAGTGAGTAGAGATAGAGACACGTACGCTTGCGCTAGACTTCTGTAATAGTACAAACGGAAAACTAGGGTACAAGGAGTAGTAGATAAATGTTGCGATAAGATTGAATGTGTGTGAGCTCTAGCTCACTAGCGCACCCACGTACTGCATAGCTCTCCTAGCTCTAGAGCCTAGAATATATTAGACACAATATCAATCAATACAGTATACCTATTATGAAGACGTCGTAATCACCAGCGAGGTGATACCAACAATAAACTTCTGTAAAGGACTGAAAGAGAACCCATAGAGTTCCTGTACTGATATAAGATATGTTAGAGTGATGCTTGACATTACGTAACTTTATCAGCTTCACTTTTTTAAATTTTCATTTCGTAGTTGGTACAATCACATACTAGAGCGTATATACAACGACTTGTTAAGACAACTTCGAATATATCATGTATAACATTTTTGTCTCTGCATGATCTTCATGATCAACATTTAGAAACTTTATGTAGAAGATAAGGATAATATATATGATATATCCGAAGTTATCTTAACAGACTGTCATATCTTCATCACTTACAAATTGAAAGATTGCTTAATTCAAGCCAATCTTGACTTAAGGTTTGTATAATGAGTAAGTAACCACGTAAATATGTGATATTCGTCATAGTAGCTAAAATCTAATTAAGAATCCTTCAATCTACATAATTGACTAGTCTTACGTATACTTAAGTAATTCAATTCTAGTAGAGTATCTTAAATTACAATTGAAAATCAGACTGAGAAATTTGAGTAGACTAAACGTTCGTCAACAACCCTCTTCGACCTCATCTAGCTTAGCTAAGCTTAGAATTAAGTAAGATAATCATAATAAATAGCTGAGTAATATAGATATATAATTTCGTAATGATAGCTATCTAGAATATAGATTCAAATCATTAGTGGTATATTCTTTCTAAGATAAGCTTTGTATAAAACAGTAGTAATTATCATCTCAAAAGTAGTATACGTCTAATACTATAATATTCAATAAAATAGATATATAACTTGAGATTTTAAATACTGTTTTAAGAATAAATCATTAATCCAACTCTCTTGTGAAACTCTATAATAAGTATACTAAATCACTTATTAATATCTTATTAATCAAGCGATATTTTGATGGATAATATATGAATAATATGATTTTATATTATAAAATTATATTATTATATTATTATATAATAATATCTCTTATCAAATTGATTTATAATGAAATAGAATGAAATAGAATGAAATAGAATTATATAGAAGATTGCTGATAAAATGGATTAGAAATTGATTGGTTGTATTTTTTTTTGTGATATAATTGATTCTATAAGATTCGATTTAAATCGATTTTATTTGTAAGCATAGAAACTATTAGAATTTCATTATAAGCTATATAAATCTAAAATATTCTTTAAAGAAAATCTAGAAAAAGTAAGCAAGTTTATCTCAATTCAGCTTATTATTATAAATTTAACTTCAATTTAATTTCTATATTATATATTCGATTTATCTCTAAACTTAAAGTAATTAAGTCTTCCATTATTAATAGAATAACGTAATTTATCACCAAATAGGCCATATCACCAAGTGGACCACTTTCACCCCAATTCACATTCTTCATATTCAATACACATTTTATCAATTATTTATTATACAATTAACAAACAAAAAAGTACATTTACTTTTAGCTATTGAAGCTTTTCAAAAAGACAAAAAACTAAGTATTTAGAAAACTACTCAACTATATAATATACCTCGTATAACAATTAATTATAGAATGAATAGTTTAACTTCACATTTAGAAATATAAGCGAATTGTTATAAGATTACAAAATTAAAAGAAAAAGTAATTATTGAATATATATTTAATATAAATCAAAAAGGTTTTCCATCTAAAATCAAAAATATAAAAGATATAGCAAATCATATTCTTGAATTGTGAGGGGCAAAGAAAATTGGAAAGTTTTGGGTTTATCGATTTGTAAAGTGTTATATAGAATTAAAGATGCGTTTTAATTGTATTTATAATTTTCAAAGAATTCTCTACGAAAATCTTGAACTTTTAAAAAAATAGTTTCGAGTAATAATAGAAATGTAAGCAAAATATAATATTCTCGATTACGATTTTTACAATTTTGATGAAATAAGTTTTATAATAAAAATTATAAATACTATAATAATTATAACTAATACAGAATAACACAGTAGAAACAAAACAATACAATTAAACAATCGAGAATAAACTATAGTAATTATATATAGTAATGGAGAGGGGAAAGTTATACCTCTATTTCTAATAGTTTAAGAACAAATTCACCTTTCCAATTAATATATCAAAACCGATTTTTCTATAGATTAGGTTATTAAATTTATTTCTAATAGATAAATGAATAATAAAACAGGGCTAGAATAATTAAAGTATTTTAATAAATATACTATTTATCAAAAAAAAAGCAAATATCAAATATTAGTACTAAATGGATATGAAAGCTATGAATCAATACCTTTTCAATTATATTACAAAGCAAATGATATAGTATATATAAAGCTATTAGTATATTCTAGTTATTTAATTTAATTATTTGATGTTGGATGTTTTAGTGTTCTAAAATACTTATATAATAATTAAATTGATAAATTTATCAAAATATATATTAATTATATTTTTAAAATCAAATTCTTTATAACTTTCAAAGTTATATATCAATAATCAATTACTTCTCAGAATATAAAAACTGAATTTCAAGGAGTTGGGTTAATACTATTTAATCCCGAAATTGTATTTTCGAAAATAAATATTCGAATTTATATATCTACTCCTTTCTTTTTCGATTTAAATCTTTAGATTTCTTAAATCCTTTATAATCCAATTAAAGTCTTTTTTTAATCAATTTTAATAAAATTTTGAATAGATTAGTATTAATTAAGCTTTTTTATATCTATATTCAAAATTGTATTAATTCTAATTAAAGATATTAAAAGATTAGTTTATAAGAATATATTTTTGAGTATAAAAAACCATTTATTTCGAAAGACAAATGAAGTATTAAATAAATATTGATATACAAAAAAGATTCAATTACATCAAAAAGGAGTATTTACTGGATAGAAAGTAATAAATATATTATCTCAATAAAAGATTGATATTCAAATTTAATACAACAAGTATTAAAATGAAGAAAATTCTAATAAAAAAGTATTTTCTATTAGATATTATAATAAATATGGAAAATCAGATTATAATTCAAGAATTTATCAAAATGATATAATAGATCCTAAATTATTAGATTTCTAATAATTTTAATTAATTGATTTAATTATTATTGAATAATATATATTTGAATATATAAATTGGGGTGAAAATAGCCCACTTAGTGATATGGCCTACTCGGTGATAAATTATGTTATTAATACTATTATTATATTCTAAGATTAATCTCCAAGATCTCTAATCACATTACAGTCAGCTCAATTTATCTTAAATTCTCAATTCGCTCTATCTATTAATCTCTAATCCAATCACTAAAATCTCAATCTAAAGCTCTCTAATAATCTTATCTAAATCAAAAGAATAACCGCTCATCCCTATTATACCTCAGCTATCTATCCAACATCAAAAGCAATAAAAAAAACCATCCTTGAAGACTATCATCTCGAACATCCGCTTATAAAAAGAGTATATTAATTAAAAATCTTCTTGATCTTTTACTCTCTCCTCTTCTATAACCGAAACGAGAGATACTTATTCTCGCATAGTATTAGTAGAAGTGAAAGTGTTAATATTATATAAGCTATAAATTCAAGAATAGCTAAAATCGTATTAGAATCAATTAATTTACTACTCTTATCTCCTTTAAATAGGAATCTCGATATAGTAAGACTAGATTAAAAAATAAAAGAGCTAATCGTATATAAAATCAAGACTAGATGGATATAACTACTTCATCTTAACTAGTTGAAAAAGTAACTATCATTCAGTTTTATCGATTGAGACAAATCTTTAGACTGATCTCTCGCTAAACAATGACTTGAAAATTTAGATTCGGGTCATCGTCTCACGTGAATAGCACGTGGCTGTCGCGAACGTGATCAGTATACGTGATTCTCGCGAGGTATCACGAGTATTGAGTAAACGTGCTGACTAACTGGGACTCAAAACAAGAAGACGGGAGAATGAGTTAATGAGATATGATAGAAGAAGTAAATACATACTAGGCGTGTAGTGCATACAGTATAGCACACAATAGATACACAGAAATACTACAACCAAGCAATTGATGGGTCACAAGAACTTCAAATACAAGTCAATCAGCAAGGAAAATTATTCAATTGTACTGCTCATAGCCCAAGGTCATTCCTTCCACATTATCATACTGAATAGAACCAGCTACATTCAGTACCCCTACTTCGTCTCCATCCCCATACCCCATAACAAACCCCTTAGCTCGTCCCTACTCCTAGTCCTTGCATATGAGGGAGCACTAGTAGGAGCAGTCGCTTACGTTTCCTGATAATATCATTGGCATAACAAGCCAAGTAACTATTGTACAATGTGTGCATCGCCATGCTGATTGCCAGATATTAGCCCCAGTCTCCACCCCGTACAGATAGGAAGCAACTCTAGCACTCTATTCCTCCTCCATATCCTCATCCTCGCTCTCACCATAGAGACTACTTTCAGGCGAGACTGAATCGTCATCGACCATTTCTTGATCTTCAGTAGAGTCTGCAGCATTAGCAGCAACGACTGGAGCAACAGCAAGGGCAACAACAGGGAATCTATCTGCTAAGGGCATAGCTTCCGGATAACCCTTGCTTCTGGCCTTTGCTCTTTCCTTCTCGTAAGTTTTCTCATACCTCGCACTCGCCTCAACCATCGCGTTCTCAATTTCTTTTGGTCTTGGTTTATCGTAGTAAGCCTGGCGCTCTTCAGCACCATTATCTCTGATAGACCGAAGACGTTGCCATTCGCCAATCGTGATCTCGATGTTTACATAAGATCCGGGAGGAGTATTTTTGAAGGCTTTCTTGCGTGGCAAAAGAGTGCCGTAACCAGCACGGATAGCTGCAAGTTCGACCTCCTTGAGTTGGGTGCGGGGAATACAAAAGCTGCTTCGACCTTTCGATGGCCTCTTCGCAGTTGATTTCCTCGCAGTTGATTTCTTCGCAGTTGATTTCTTCGCAACTGGTTTCTTTGCAGTTGATTTCTTCGCAGTTGATTTCTTCGCAACTGATTTCTTCGCAGTTGATTTCTTCGCAGCTGGCTTCTTCATATTTTTTTTGACGCCTGCGGAAGCTTGCTTTTGGGTGTGAGAACGAGTAGAACTAGAGACTGGAATAGCTGGAGCAATTGGAGGAGCTGGAGCTGGAACTGCAGTCATGCGAGTAGCTCGAACGGTTGTACTAGCTGTACCAGAAGCAAGAGAAGGGGGAGGAATTGGTTGGCGTCGAACGGCTGAGGAAGGGTGACTTTGATCCGTCACAGAACCTTGTGTCTGTCCAGAGTGCGGGGGACGGCGAGTACGATAACGACTGTGACCACGGGCACCGTTTACGAAGTCAAAGTTGTATGGAGGAGGATTGCCGGCAGGACCATTGTACATCATGGTACCGCTATTGACGGGGTAAAATGTGCGAGCATTGTTATGAATAGGGTCATATCTGCTCATACCATACGGATTGGGTTGACGGCCCCGGAGAGAACCTCCTGCCCGCAATAGTCCGGAGGCTGAACGACCACGATCAGGTTCAGCACGATCAGAGACCACCATATTAGGTGCATCAATACCAGAGGCTGGAGAACCATCATCAGCAACAGGAGGACCGCCTCTCACATAAGATGTAGGGAAAGGTCGACCAATTGAGTCCGGAGGAGAACTTTCAGGCAACAATATACCACATTGCGGAACTTGGGGGAGTGGGGGTAGACGTTGGAAAGGAGACTCTTCCTTCTCCGGCTCGTTTGACATCGTGGTCGACTAAGCTTTGTTCCGGTAAGGACCACTTGTACTAGTCTTGTAGACTGTTGAATGATATTGGTTTAAGTGTAGGTGATCGTAATCGTATTCGTCGCGCAATAGGAAGCAAGGAATGACGGAATAGAGTTGGATAAGCTCGAGGATTTCGTAGAAAGAGCAAGGTGGAGGATGTGTAAAGAACACGAAGTGTAGCTATGCTATTGTTTTGTATACTATTGAAATAGATAAGTTAGAAAACCGCACAGCAAGTTTCAAAGAGGAGTATGATATGCTGTGATAGACTGTTTGGAGAAAATTGATCTGCTGCAAGATGCTGCGGAATAAGGATTGTTAAACAGGAGAAGACCAACCAATAACTCAAGATTAACTCAAGAACTACGTTCGAAGGTCGCTGCGACACCTCGTAATAAGATAATTATTGAATGAACAAAAGGTCAAGTAGTAGCTATGGACTAGATAACCGACGATGATCAGGGTTGTCGCGAAGTATCGTAAGAGGATGATTGCTGAACGAGGGAAATTAGTTGGTAGCTCCAAATTAGGTGTTGACAATGACTTACCACAAGGCTTTGTCGAAGAAGGAGAGAGATTATTGGTGACTCCAGACAAATATTCAAGGACGACGTCGACGGTTGCGACAAGGTTCTTATCGAAGAAGGGGAAGGATTGACGAATAGCTCGAAGCCAACTATTTGATGAAGACGTTAGAAGGATGCCGCCAAGTATCTCAAGAGGATGGTTATTGAACGAACAAAAAGTTACCTAGCAGCTGTAGACCAACTCACAGAGATGACGTCAATGTTTTCCACGAAGAGTGGTACAAGAAGGAAGAGTATGAAGTCAACTGGTAGTCCCAGATTAACTAATCAACGACGGCGTTCGATTATTGTCGCAGTTTCGTGCGGAAAGGATTGCCAACGAAGAACAAATAGTCTGGTAGCCCAGACTAACTCCCACCTCCAGGAACGATGTCCAGAGGGTGGCAGATTGAACGGAGGCTTGGATAGTTGATGGAGAATGGCTGCTAAAGGCAGAAAATGTGGGGTAGATGGAAGAATAGACAGCAAGTTGCAGAAATTAAAGTGCGGGAAATCAATATTGAAAATCTGAACTACGTGTAGAGGTTGTTAAGAAGCAGAACGTATGTGTAAGGTAATGGTAAAGGTAGATATCACTGCGAATAAACAACTGACAAAAGCTTGGTGGGGTAGGGTGGGAGAATTGAAGACTGGAAGTTGCGAAGTATTAAGTATTGCCTTGTAACTCTAGATAATTTGCAATCAATATGGAAGTGCTCCAGTACCAAATGACCTTTGGAAGATCAATCAGACTAGTACTAGAAAAGAATAGCATGAAACAATAAAACGTAATAGAAGACAAATAAAATCTTTCGTTGATCAAAACCTGATGGAATGGTGTGATTTCCCAAGAGAAAGCAGTGAATACGCGAGATTCTAGAGTGAATTTTTGGGGGACTTGTATGATCAGACTTTGTCCGGATTTGTAAGAGCTAACAACTTCAACTCCAACTTCAAGAACTTTTACTCTCAAAGAGCCTTGAGAGGGTGAATCTGGGTGCTTGTATTGACATACTAGATTTGAAACTTGAAATCTAAAACAAAGAACTTACAATAGATACCTTGAAGTGAAAAGCTGTTTTTCGAGGACCCTTGTGTAAATTTCAAAACCGTAAGGCATACCAAGGTAAGATCAATCTCAGTGAGCTCCTCATTTGGATTGATTGTACCTATTCACTCTAGTCTTGAAGTCACCATTGACATACACGTGCTAATGTATTCAATTCTCCCAAACCAGGAACTAAAGCTCATTCCCAATTCCATTTTCCTGCTGAATAATCCACGTGTACATACACTAATGTATCTGAGGTCGCAGAATCGACATGTCAGAGCTGTATCACGCGGACACGTATCCTCGAATCCTGAGAAGTCCCCAGCCAACGCCACCCACAAACCAGTTCCCACCCTCAATCGAAATCTTCACATCAACTATTATATATCGAAAAGTCCTCACTCATCAGCGCATCCGGGAACGTTGGGTCCAACAATGCATCCCAATTGATATCGACCTGCCTTTCTACTTCCGGTCCATGCTGTCCATCCGCGTTCTCCAAGAATCCCAAGTCCCTCTTCTTCTTCGCCATACTGTCTCTGAGCAAAACTTTTGCAGTGTCGAACGCTTCGTGTGCTAAATGCGTATCTACTATCCTTACGATGTTCTCAAATATATTTAGGACCCACGAAACGTTTGACAAACTTTCCGAGGTATCGATAGCGAGAAGGACACAAAAGTATTGGAAGGTAGTTGAGAGGATATTCCACCAAGGATGACCATTACGGGCGAATGTATCTGCTGCTTCGGCGCCTTTGTTTCCTATATCTATGATAGCTTGGATTGCTTCTTTCTCCAGTCCTTGTTTCATAAGCCTTAACCTTCTATAGAAACAAAAACATACATCTGCTTTGGAGAGTGAAAGAAATGGATGTACGTCTGGAATCTGTGCCAATTCTTTCAAGCCGTTTATGAGTTCCTCTTTATGTGTTATGGAACTGACGACCATATTATCGCGAGGTATCAGTTGAGCAATCTTGATATGAAAAATCGTACTGTCGCCCATAGTATCCTTCACTGGCTTGCATGTTATACTGTTGAGAATTACTGCAGATCTTCCATATTCATACGAGATAATCGTATGAACAGACCAAGCCATCCAGAAAGTTTTTCTGGCTCTTTCTATTTCTGCTTGATCCATCCGCCTTGCTTGAGTGTCTCCTTCCGTGGTCAATAGTACCGAGTGAACTTCTTGGTGTAAACCTGTAGCTTCAGCTAAATGTAAAGTGACACAGCTAGCAAGCCACGAAACATGAGGTCTGGTAGTTGATCGAAGATACAGAGTCCGTAGAATCCATGCATTTATTTGATCAATTGAAGGATGGCGACTAAATGTTGGATCCTCCAGCACCGTTTTTACATGCTGCACAATTTCCAATTCCCGAGGATGACCATGTCGGAATGCAAAAAATGATCCCAAAGCTACCACCCCACCAACGACAGCACCAAATGTCAAATCTCTTCCATGGTTAGTCCAATAATCATTGCACCGTTTCATAAAATACGGCCAATCTAGGAATCCAAATGGTCCATGAACTGTTACCGCATATATGTCGGAAAGCCGCTTAAATTCATCAAAAGAAACCAATTGAGTTAGATTGGTATGGGCAGATGCAGCTTCTTCAGCTCTGATTCCACAATTCCAAGCAAAAGAATGAAGAGGTGGTGGATTTGCCGATTGAAATTCAACACCAAGACTTCTGGGGAAAGCGACTGCAGAATGCTGACTCATATATCGTGATCTCAAAGGATCAAGAATACCGCGATCAACAACATCCTGTGATGATGTAGATGGAGATTGAGGATTTGTTATACTCCGACGTCTAGGTGTATGATTTGTTGTCGATGGCGAAAAGTCATGCCTCATTTCATTATGACCAGGGAGAATTGTCCGTATAGGTGAAAGATTGGGATTTGGCGGATTATGTTCATCGGAGTATCGGCAATTGTATCCATATCGAGTGCACATTGAACAGGGAAATTCTACATCACATTTTCTCTTCCGTTGCCGACATGGAAGACAAGCTCTCCTCGCTCGTTGACGTCCATGAATTGGACGATCCGGATTGCTCGATTGCGTCGACGGCAATGGCGCCGATGGTGGTACGCGTGGGGTTTGTATCGATGACCCATTAATTGATTCTGACATTATTTGAGAGCCGATAAATCGCTCTTCAATTTGACTCGTAATGAAGTATATACAAGTTGTATTGAAGCCGACGAATTATTTGATGGATACATTTTGATTCAATATGTGATGATGAAGGAGGAAATTGAGGTTGAATAAAAAGTAACTTTTCTCGTCGGAGTTAGATCTTGGCTAACTGATGTGGGGTTAGTGCTACTCAATTATCAATCCGACTCCACTACCTTGAACATCACCAAAATATTGTCGATAAACAAAGTATCATATGCATTATATCTTCTTATGATTCTTATTCCGTGAAAGAACATGAGCAATCAACTACTCGTCAAGCAACAACAGCTAAAAAAAGAGAAAAACTCTCGGGTATCTTTACAAATCAATCGCTTCATAACAAATCAAGGTTCCTCTATCCGCCCCTCCTCCTTTCTATCCTTGGCTCTCTTCGTCCTCTCCGACAACGAAAACAAAATTGAACAAACCACTCCCAGTCCCGCAAGTCCAATCCCTACATACTGAGCTCCACGATATCCTTTCAAAAGATCTTTTGGGTTCCTTCCGCCGTTATTGATCTGAACTTCTACAGTTCCGGCAATACCTAAACCGATCGAGATTGAGTAATTGACAACAGTGTTGACAAGAGAAGCGGCAAGTCCTTGATGATCTTTATGCATGGAATTGCTCAGGAGAATCGTTGCTGCTGGGAATGACATATCCCTGATTTTATTAGCATTTGTTATCCAATGGTTCGGAGAGAAAATGATGTTTGAACTTACATTCCCCAAGGAGTTACAAGACATGCAACGAATGTTTGTGCCCAATATGTTTGACTGATAGGGACCGTGGCCATCAGAATTGATCCAATGAGAAAACCAGTCATAGCAATCATCATCACAGTACTGGCTGGGACTTTGCTCAGAATCTTTCCTGTTGTCAATGATGCACAAAGTCCACTAATAGTCGTAGGCGAGACCATTGCTGATGCGAGAAGTGGACTTATTCCCCTAACTTCCTCCAATAATTGCCAGAAGTAAAAGATCCAGATTCCAAAACTAGCCCATCCACCTGCAATACATGCAAGTGTATAACCAGTGTGAGAATTCAACGCACCAAAGGGTACCAATGGGTAGAGCGCACGAGATTCGATAAATGCGAAAAGTCCGAGCACAAGAGCCCCAATGATGAGAATAACATAGACATAGACGGTAGTCCAACCAATTACTGGCCCTTGATTCCAAGAAAAGTTAACCAGAACTAATCCTGCAACTCCAGTCAAGGCTCCAAGACCATCAGCTCGCTTGAACATGCTAACTGAACGATCAAATTGCGGAGGTGGTGTGTGAGGAATGACAATTATGCCCACTACAGCGAGTAGGACGCATACCATAGCAGTAACCCAGTAAGCCCAAGGCCACCAGACAAATTCCGCAAATATACTTGAGAAAGTGGCACCAAGAGTAAAGCCTGTTGGAGCTGTGGCACCGAAAAGACTAAAAATCATCTCCTTCTTTCTTCCTGGCTCGTAGATACGAGCAAGTATTGCTAACGCATTCGGCAAAAGAAAAGCCGGTCCAATTCCTTGGAGGGCACGAGCAACATCGAAAAAGATTGCATCCGAGTAAGCGCTAAATCCAGCTAGAAGTGACCAGAGTGCGAACCAAAAGAAGCCGCTTATAAAGAGCAATTTGTGGCCATAGAGATCACCTAGACGTCCCGCAATAAGAATGAATGTACCGACCGTCAGTGAGTATGCGGCCGCAAACCAACCTTTACCACGAAATGTTAGTTACGATCCAGATATCAAACGGAACATAGAGAAGCATACTCAGCTGTCCAGGATTCGTAACTCCAAAACTCGATCCAATGATATGTAACGGAGCAATAGCTTGACCCAATGCGGCTTGCGTCATAAGTTGAGCCATATATATTATTGCGATGAAAGTATACTCTCGAGGGCGAGAATTGAAATGTTCGATTTTACTTTGAATAGGAACGAGAGTGTTCGGATGGGCGTACTCGGGTCTCGACTTTGTCTTCTCGATATTGAGAGACTCGTGACCTGCCATCATCTCGGAAGAGGAAGACGGTGATAATAGAGTTTCCATAGCAAATTTCCAGGTAGCTGTAAAAATAGCAAGAAAATCAGTACCGGGAATTATCTTTTGATCCGAATCAGATGTCTTGAATATTCGAACTTCGGCCGCCCTTTCCTTTTTGTTCACGCGGTAAATGAAGAAGTCCAAAGTTATCAAAAAGTCGTACGTCCCGGTTATCTATATTCCGTCGGTGATGTGACGCAACCCGAGTAATAAGCAAATGGGGTCGGGATAACAGCGGAACAGAAACTGTTCTGCAGCGGAGATAGTCATTCCGCCGCAATTAGATGCTTAAGGTTTGAACTTTGCATATGTAAAGTGTTCTTATGCTTACGAATGTAGACATATTGATATCCAATATTGAGACATGACATGCTGGCCCTAACTCGGGTTAGAAACTTTTAGAACAATTCTAGAGCAATTGACCGAGAAGGATTGATCAGATAAAGAATAAATTGTCAGGTTGTCATAATCAAAAATCAGCAATTATCAAAGTTCGGTTGAGTTTTGAGTGGATCAAATGAGGACTATTTATGGGGTCTTGGTGGACTCACCAATTAGGTTTTCTATCTTGTTGCGTAAGGATAATGATTTGAGGGTGGTATTCCGCAACATCCGATCCGCATAGAATTGGCACTATTCCGCAATATCTCCGGTCTGTCCAAGAAGTCAAAAAAAAAGAGAAAGGGAGCGCTATAGATATGAGGTGAAGATCTTGAGAAAAGATTGGGAGATGGAATAGTCTTTGAAATTTGGTCGGACCCAATAAAGGAGTTCAGCAGAACGAAAATAACGAGAAACGAAAATGATACTTCTTTACACAAATTATACATCAAATCATCTCATGAATGATTTGAAAGAAGGTTAGAATAGAAAACGTTCTTAAGCTTATGATCGATATTGATAGAAACCTTGCCATAACCGGCTTATCGTTTTATATAATCATTCTATCAAAAGGACTTTGGATTTGGCGAGTTTGATGTTCCGATTCCTTCGTTTCAATAGAGGGGAAACACAAATTTTACGCATACTATATTTTAAGTTCTCCTCATCTCTTCTCCTCCAGCGGAGATGCGCTTCACCTAGCCTCACTCGCTTATTTTCCTTTCATTCGCGCCTCAGTTGCCATCCTCATACCCATCACCTATCAAATGGCCAGCTTCCCCATAAAAGTCACGCGAGATTCCTACGTGAGTAGGCGATTTTCTGAAAACAGATAGGATTGATTTAGGTCAAGAACTTAGTGATCTCTATAAAACTCTACCCGAACTGGGCTGCTATATTTTCGACTGAGGCCGCGAAACTGTAACGAAAGTATGGAACTTTTGGAACAAAACAACTTCGAGATAAATTATGAGAATCTACATCAAAATGAACTATATCGTTTTCTCCGTCCAGGTCAATCAACTTTCTCTCCCACCGACATGGTTCTCGTCCCCATCCCTTGTCCCATCATTCAATAAGCCTTTGTGAAAATTAAATTGATGCCGAGCCAGCATAAACCCAAAGTACCCCATCCCAATTAGCCATACCCAGAGCGCCAGAAGTATTGACATCGGGCCACCACCGAATGCCAGGGATCCAATTGCCATTCTTGTCACATTCTTTTACTCTGACAAGAAAGTCATCTCTCGATTTCCGCATTACAATCATGGTGCCCCCTGATGAAATTCCCACTTGAGGAGCAGAATCCAAGTTGCCTCCAAGATCATGGAAACCATTCCACGAACTACCATTGTACTTGGAGGTATAAAGTCTATGTTGGCCATAATTACTTATGAAACAGTATATAGCTCCATTGAAAACCTCTATGGCTGGTGGTTTGGTTGTTGAAATGGAGGAAGAGATACGTAATGTATTTGACCAAGTAGTACCGTTGGTAGATTGATTCCAGTGCACATGATTGTCTGTTCCTCGATGCACGCTGACAAGTCTGCCTTGGTATCCACAAAGAGCTGGGCCATCATTTGTCAAGGCGCCATTTCCTCCTGCGTCGGCGGGACTGGTCCAGCTGCTCCCATTGCTAGTAGATATGCAATATAGTTTATTACTCGGGTGATGACGATATAAGCAATACAAACGATCGTTGAATGTGGCAACTGCAGGTCGAGATGCTGATTTGATTGTACCATTGGATATAGGAATAGGCGACGACCATCTTCTGTTTTGGCTGTCGTACTTAGTCCAATGATAAATGCCGTTTAATTCTCGGAAGACATCACATAACTCATTGTTAAAGTTTGCCAATGAGATACCATCTAAGCCTCTGCCGGCGATTATTAAAGCCGTTCTATAACACCTATCAGAATATTTCCACCCTGTTAAAACATTATTTAAACAAGGAATCCCTAAACACTTGATCCATAGTTCATACTTTCCTTGGTTACCTTCATTAAACATGAATAATAATTCGCCATTGGGTTGTTTACTTTAAGTAGATAATGTTAATCTTGTGAAAGTGATTTCACATTGGAATACCAAGTTGTTATTATTTATCAGTTATTCAAGGAGATCTGTAATAAGTAACCCATATAGTGCGATTAGTGTAAGAATCGCTACAGCCTTTTCTATTGATCTATATTCGTCTCCCCAATTGTCAGTCTCATTTGCCCTAACAACTGTATCAATAGAAAACTTCGAAATATCTTTTAAAGTCTACACCAGTTCGTTATAGAAGCTACTACCACTATCATCCGCCTCCTAGCACTCAATGCGCCCTGCAAAATGATCTTGGACAGCGCCTTGAAAGTAAGTCTAGCCCACTTGTTGTACATCTCCACTCTCAACGGAGCCGTGTTCACCGGTTTTGAAATTTCGCTCATCGGGAACATCCGATCCAGATGCAACGGCCCAATAGATCTCGTTTCTGGGGCCAAACGCGATATCCTTTTGTTGATGGTGACATTTGAACCGCTGCAAAGTCATTTTGTATTCGCTCACAGTATTCAAGGTAGCACTCGAGTTGGGACTGATCGAAGTTGTGCTGCTTTGCTCCTCCTCACTATCTTGAATTGGCTTGCTATCCTCCTCCTCAATCTCTGGGGCAATTAACACAATAAATCCATTTCCTGCTTCAGTAAATGCTTCTATATACTCAGTGCTGTCAATGTACTCCTTATCAATTATTGTAATATCTATAATTTTGTTCTTGGGTATGGTGAGAAAGTCGCTCGCCATTGCTTTTGCGTCAGCAACCATATTAGTATTAGTATATACTGTATCCGCACTTATACTGAGAGCTGCGCTAGAGAAAATAGTGTTACTCAAAGTACCTTTGCCAGTTTGGTCTTTAGTCTCGGTATACATTTTTCCGTATTCAGTAACTTCCTGGTTAGTTGCAAATATCTTTAGCATCCCAATTAAGCAAGCTTCCAAGGGAAAGAGTTCCGCTCCATTTGTATCACGAGAGGCAGTATAAAGAACTGCAGCAAACATTGGGTTTGGGAGGGTGGAAGCTACTCGATTGCTTCTTCTGGAAGTTCGGTTTGGAATTTGACCACAGAGTCGAGCGTGCAATTTCGCGGCGCGCTCTTCAGGTGTCGTCAATTTTCCCATGATGATTTACTGAAAAGCTATCTGGTACATTAAATTATCAGTACTGGTAATAAAAATGAGTTTGAGGAATTTACCGATAGTAGTTGGAAAATGAAAATTTAAATATCTAAGAAGAGATCTTGTAAGTTACTGAATCTCAATGAGAAAAATGATTCTAAGATGGGAGGGAGATTTTTCGATATCACCTTCTGTATTTATGGACTTTCTTCAAAGATGTTATCATAGATAATCTGCAAAAGTTTTCTAGATTAGACATCTTTGTAAGCATTGTTGAGCTGTAAATGGTATGACCAGTGATCTGTGATATCTAATTGATTATATTATCCTGCACAGATTGCTGATTAGTACTAGTAATGAGATTCTCTCACCCCTGACACTGTCTTGACTCGTACAAATGCAGACCAATATGTAATAAAGCCTCTATTAAATATGCGACATCATTATTATGATGGACTTTCATCTTTATTATTGGATAAAAGGAAATTTACGATACCTCAGTATGTATGTTATAAAACAACTTGCTCGACCTGAGTGAATATACATTTCCTCAATTGTATTCTTAAATAATCCAAATCCATTCATCAAAATATGTCTATATCTGTAATTGCTGAATTCATAATATCATTACAGATATTGTTTGATTTGAATAAGAATATGTTAAATCAATCTTTATTCAATTACATCTTCAACAGAAGTTCGACTTGTGTGGTTGAACTCGGAAGCATTCGAAGGACAAGTATTTTACCCCGCACCTGTGCAAGTAATGTGCTGAATGTAAAACGACAAGAACAAACTGAACTATGAATTTCGTAGAAGACAATCGGATATAAATATACAAGGACCCCATGTTTGTCTGGACACTCATTTGAGACGACAAGAGAAGGTGACAAGTTTGAGTGATGCGGACTATATCAGAACATTAGGGGCTCGCCAGTCAGCCATTTGAACTTACTATAGAATTACGAGGCGGGGTTCAAGGAAATAATGAAAAATGTCTTGATATCGAGAACGTGAGAGATGATACAGTACTTATGGTATCGCAGGATCTCCAGTATAACTGAGCAAAGCCCCTGATGGTTCTGCTTATTAGACGGACATCAGACGCAGGAATGAGCGATGATCTAGGGTATAATAAGGATTCTCAAAACTTAGGCGTCACTTGACCTCATCTCTTGATTCACAGCTCCATCTCTTGAGATTTCGACCTCTTACATCGAAAAGTGCCTATACGTTCCACTTTATCATCTTAAAGAATTCGTTAACTGGCGTTGTTGCAGAGACAATACATCCACTTGGACACTCGCCATGAGACTGGCACAGCGGGGTTCACACTTAATTCCTAAGTACTATGGCAACGCTTGCTTGCAGTTCATTATATATTCCCTTACTGTCAGTCTGTTAAGATCGTTATGCAGTCTCACCTTAATATCTTTACATACACTTCATTCTACTCGAAATCAGATGCTCCCACTTGTTAACAAACACTTCCGATGAATATCGAATCAAACACAAACCCCAAAGGACACATATATCCACTCCTATCAAAGCCTTCATACCCCACCATAAAGCTCTCTAGAATAGCATGCCCAGTACCCGTCTCATCGCCCGCAGAATGCGTGCCTTCTAATTCAATACAAATGGGTGCGAATCACCTCCATTGTATCTCTTCACGCAAGGCCACATAGGCTAGAAAAGCCATGCGGATCAGAACAAATCATTGTTGTAACCTAAGTTTCCACCAAGTAGTCAGTAGGAGACTAGTTGTACACATATCAAAATGGCAGTGGTGTATTGATTGGGTGATCGCCGGTGGATGTATGAACGAGAGGACAAGATAAAATCAGATGAAGTGGCTTTCACATATCACATGACCGTAGCTGCGCCACATCGGACTTCATCCCTGATACTATCCGTATTAGGACACGGTCAAAGCAAAGGCAACCTCGGAGTAACATGGTACAGAAATATGGGATGAAGGGGAAGAACGTCTACGAGTAAGATTTTGGGATTTCTTCGTTTTGTTTCATTTCTCTCACTCCACAACCGTTTGGATGATCTCTACCAGTAGTTTTGTCTCATTTATCTGATCTCAGTTACTTCGACTGGATGATTTCGCGTTGTCCCAAGTATTTCTACATCAACTTTCCTTGACCGCCAGTTCCAAGGGTGATTCCACTCTCCATCGCTACTGGTAGTGATAGCGTCAGTACTGTACGTACCTGCATCAGCCGCGTACAGTGGATTCTCAAATTGAATCCCCGGTACGATCTACTGCATTTGCATTGAGATGCACCCCGGATTATGGACTCCTCCTTACCCCATGAGCAAGAAAGCAATCGAGTTCAGAGGGAATCTTCAATCTTTGATCTACCCCAGTATGTAATAAGCTATAATGATGATCATACTTTACGATGGGATCCTCCAGCGGGGTCTAAAGAATTATCTATCGCCCTAAGTTATCATTTCCCACTGGAGAAGGACCTTGGAAGCAAAATGCAAGCTGCCACTAGGAAGTTTCTTCGAAATGAACGACAAAAGACAGCATCGGAGGACTCCAAGATCAATGGAATCTCTGAGACTATGGGTCTCGATGGTTTGCCACTACATTTGAATACAGAAAATCAGGTCACGCGACCAGACGTGAAAGTACCAGATTCATCATCACATGTCAAATCTAAATCATTGGCGTCCCATCGTATTTCGATGCCGGAAAGTAGAACCATTCAATTCTTAACGTGGGATGCCGATATGAAGGAGTTCAGTCCCAAAATAAAGAAGAGACGATACGACAAGGAAGAGCGAGTGAAGGTTGCCGCCAATAGAGGATTTGCATGTGCTAGGCATAGAAGACAGAAGATGAAGGTACTCGAACATCAGTTTCAGTTATCAGACGCCTCACTAACAGTCGCTAGTGTGATCCGGAACGATGTTCAAGGAACAAACAACGGTTGAGTAGTTTAGAAAATATGGCCGCCAAAGTGGAGGCCCAATCGACTCTAGACAAACGACATTCTTCCTTCATTCCAGACCCCGAAACTGCAAGTCAAATAAACTCCACGATAGACACCGAGACACTCACTGTGAACTCATCACCTTCTTTAGATACATCGCCAAGGTGGACAACCTCTTCTTTCGTGGATCCTGCAACGCTCTACAAATTAGAGGGTTTCCACACGAGCGCTCAGTCATTGGATTTTCCTACACCTTCTCTCGAATACAGTTCGAGATCACATGACTCCATCGGGTCAGTGCTATCTACAAGTTCAGATGTGAACTTTCTCGCGGGCTATGACGAGATGAATTTCGATATTCCTAATTACGAGACTTATCATTGGTGGCCACGAAATGAGCAATTTGATCCCGTTGGCTCTACATTCAATGATCTCATGCCAATCGACCAACCCATCGCGATGTCGAATACCTTGCAAATGGAGACATTCCAACTCGAAGATAAACAGTTTCCCACATTCAATCAGCCTTCAATAGAACCTTCAGACCAGCAGCTAGAATGGTCTCAAAATATGAATGTTCCAGAACAAAGTTATATTATAGAGCCCTCCTCTACCCCACTCCGCCCATCTTCAAGTCCGATGGAAAATACGACAACTTTAACAGAAGTAAATCGTCACTGTCAACAAGACCTAATGGAATGGGAATCAGTCCGTCCATCAAGTGTCACTCAAACATATTTCACCAACAACCCAGTGAAACCATTGACAGACGAAGAAAAGAGAACACTCATCAAATGGTGGGGTAGGGATAGATCTTCCGAGCAGCCGGAGAGCATTCGTGGTAGACAGAGTTCACATGAAAGTCAGCCATCTAATGGCGATGTTACCGGAGTTGAGACACAATCTAACATGGGTGTGGGGAAGAAAGCCAGTCTTAGAGAGAAGGTTAAGACTGCCACAGTTCATGTAGCACCGTTTCCCAGGGGTTTGTTTAGAAGTCGATCCGCGGGAAAGGATAAGAAGCCGTAAATTGTGTTTCTTGGTTGTCCGAAATTATACACTCTTTCAAAGTGAGTCAGGTGTTTGTGTTTAGGGATTATTGGATTTAGGGAAAAGTTCTGGTGCTGTGGTGCTTTGCGGATATCCTGTCTTTCCAGATTTTGAATTATTGTTGGAAGTTTCTTTGATCTAGATATAGGGTGTTGATATCAGAGCATCTTTCTTACATCTACTTTCAAAGGGTGTTGTTTTGCATCGTTGTTGCTCACAATTTAGACAGCGGAATTCGAATCAAGTACATTTGACAGTTATTGAATATGTTTCTCCTGAGTGAATTGATTCTTGGTCCTTATCCCGCCTTCTCTGTGTGGGAATATTTTTTATCTTATTCTCGGGGGCACTATAAAACTGAGGTGATACAGTGAGCGCGAAGTTGCTAGTCCACAAAGACGTTTTCAAATCACTAGATCACCTCCCTATGGAAGGCATCTTGGTTTGAACATATCAAACGCCTTCTTTTTTACGATGAAGATAACTCGAGCTGTCTTCTTTTATTCAACTCCCAAAATATGTCGTTCTGCCATTTTTTCGTATTCTTTTGTGCAATTTTTCCAGTACAAATGAACCGGACAAGATATCATAGAATGTTCTTAATCCTCTCAAATCTTTTTCTTCGCTCTTCTCTCGGAACTAAGAACGAAACAGGGATAAGGAATTAGTAAGTACCAAGCAATAGCACCCAGTCATTATGAGCCGTAACAAGCTCTTACTAGAAGCTAGCGTTTAACTGACTCGGGTACTAATCATATGGTACAGTTGTTGAGATGTTTTTAGCACATCGCTTGTTCATGTTTGTACAGCTTCATTTTAAAATCTAACTATTTAAAACTCTACTCGGTCATTACTCGACATTATATTCACTAATTTTCCTTTTTTCTCAAATAACATTCGCAACCTATTCTCAAATCTAGAAACATTCCAGTATGGCAAACGCAGCTCCTTCCGTCATAGGGTTCGTTCATGGGTCAAAGAACTTGTTTCCACCCAAATCCATGAAAGAGACCAGAAAAATGATCGAAGAACTGTGTATCGACATTAATTTCGGCCACAAGGTCGAAGAGTTGGATAAGTTCGTCGGTGGCAACAATACCGCCATTTTATTCACCTGTACTCCTCTCAAAGCAACGACTGAAGATGAACGAATCTACTGCGTGTTACGTACTTCCCTAGACAATCATCTTAGAGGAAACCCTCCTGTCGATGTCTGTATGAAGTCGGAAGTAGCCACCACTCATTACTTCCGCCACAAGAGGAATTTACCAATTCCACTCGTTCTAGCATGGGACTGTACCTATCATAATAGCATCAAATGTCCATATTCTCTTTTAGAACAAGTCAAAGGAGAAACACTGGAATATCAGTATTTCAAGCTGAATTATGGTTTGCAAAACAACACTCCCCGCGACGCCCGCGTGGAACGTCGATGCTTATACGCGAGATGCGTTGCAGATTTTGTGGCTGCGATGGACCAAACTGAACTTCCGGGATATGGATTCTTCGTCGCTCCGGCCAAGATGCCACAAAAGGGTAGCAAAGTAGAAGTCTATTTCCAGCTAAGTCGAGATTCCATCGATGGTATTAGGATTCCCTCGGAGCTTAATTTTCCTAATTGGGTCAACAATAATCTGAATGCTCAGATGCAGAGAGCTTCTGATATTTTTCTCAAGGTGCCGCTAGTAGAAGTTTGGAAGATTCAAAAACTCAGACAGATAGGCTCGCAGATGGCAGAAAAGGGGTTGTTGACAGACCAACCGGCCGTATTATGGCACGCAGACTTCTACCCAAGGAATATCTTGGTCAAGAGTCCTAAGGGTCGTGCAATACTCACTGGAGTTATAGATTGGGATGAAGCCAGGGCAGTAAGTCATTTTTCTCACTCACATATATCCCAACCTCTTCTTGAGATTTTAGACTAACGTTCTCATCGTTTCCTCGCATCGTCACCAGAAAATCTCCCAGCTGGCTCTGGTCTATGACCGAGAGCCCGCTATCACCAGAAGAAAGAGGCACGATTGCGGATGCTTTCTACGGTCAGATGGAAATACTGCGTCCAGGATATAAAGACGATGCGTGTCTGCCAATTAGAAAAGCAGTTAGAGCTCTCTGCATGTATGCGGTCTTTGGGGTAAATTTTAAACATTACCTTGAGTTGTCTTTTGATGGTTTGGTAGGGTACTGGGAGGACTTTATGAGAAATGGTTGAGAATTTTGAGAGGTTTGGGGTGTCATTACGGTTATTTTGGTATGGAATTTTTAAGAGAGGTTGAATTTGGTGGAGAGCAGACAATTTTCAAGTATGGGAATAGGCCATGGAGCTGCGGCGAGTTTAGTATATCCCTCATACAGATGAGATAAATTTCTTTTATGATATTTTTGATCTTGAGGTCTTTCTCTTCTTCAATATATCAATTAGTATGAGTAGTGCAGACAAAACATGTTATTTAAGTAATTCCTGTGAGCATACATATCTCTCCACGATCTAGCATTCCTGATTTAAGATTCTATCTTCCCCATCTTCTATATTCCAAGTCCGATGCTATTGTTGATAGTCATTGGTTACGTATAAAGGATGCCTGACTTTTGTTTGCTTAATCTGAGAGCACTTTCCCTGCCCAGATTTATGACCATTCGATCTAACAACAATGCAGCATTGGACCTTCCACTTAAAATTTACAACATAGTGAAAAATCTGCGGTGATCGTTAATTCCAAATTTTATCTTCTTGAACATTGCTGAATTTCATTGTTTTATGAATCATCTTGTATACTTGGAGATCAAACATCATTTATTCTTCAGACTACATCAACAGAGTGTTTGGATTCATCACCTCAAGTATATAACCTTTCGAAATATCTTGTAAGATTGCATCTTTTTCTCATAAAATCTTCTGGATAGTACCAATGTCAAAGTTCCAGATTTTCCTTAGATATATACTGATGTAGCCCACATGAACATAGAATTCTAGCGCTTAGAAACTTTCGACATGAGCCGTGCAATTACCCGCAATCCACACGTCGAGTTACTCCCCCTGATAAATGAACCGGGTTATGAAAGAGTCATGGTAGACTTACTACCCGAACAGATAGGCAAAATGATTCCATTTCCGTCTCTACTGAACTCCGATGTTGAAAGATTGCTCAATGCGCTACTCTTGGAACACGGACACCCAGAAACCGCTGCTTATTGCGAATCTAAACAGGGAGGAAATAACAACTTGGTGGTTTTCGATTGCCAAGCAACTCCATTTTATGTCCACCTCAAGTACTGCATACGGACTCCGCGATATATTTCTTTTGCCCAGAAACGCCAATATCCAACTTATCAGCCAGTCAAGACCCTTGTTGCATTGACACATCAATTCGGAGTCCATGGACTCGGTTTACCCATCCCTAATATCCTTCTTCATAACTCCGGTTTTGATAACGCTATTTCTTGTCCATATGTGGTCATGCAGATGATATCTGGGACCACACTACAAAAACTGTATCAAACCATACAACGATCACCAAATTTCTTCCCCGTTGTATTGCAGCACTGTCAACTTGCGCGCGAAATAGCACATTTCATTGCTAAGAAGGAAAGAGTTAAATTTCCAGGCTTTGGTGTTGTTAAAAATGCAACAGATACAGAAATCTGGAACAGAGAAGACCCAAATGTTCACTATGACCTTGCCGTGGATGAGTTTAACATAGCGGGTGGGACAATTTCAAAATTCGACTTTCGCAGCTTTATTTGTGATTTGGCGGTCAAAGAAATGTTTAGATTTAAAAAATTACAGGCACTGGGGCAGAGATATCAAGGCATAAAGCTCCCATGTGTATGGCAAGCAATGGCTGTGAGGAATATGCTCGGTGATGAAGACTCGACACTTTGGCATCCAGATTTTCATCCAAGAAATATCTTGATTGTACGACATGGGAGTGATGTTCGTCTGTCAGGTGTTATCGATTGGGACAATGCTTTGGCTGTAAGTGATTCCTCTTTTTTTCCACAACAATAATTGGGAAACTAATCCGCAGTAAGCTACCGCGTATCATGACAAGAGAGCCTCCTTCTTTTCTCTGGAATCAGCCAGGCGTTCTTACACAGCCAGAGGCTGATACGGTCAAACAAGCATTCGATGAGACTATAGAGCACTTGGTTCCTGGCTATACAGAAGATGCATACTCAAGATCTCGAGTTCTCATTCGAGCAATGGGCATGTATTCACTATATGGCCCCCAATGGAAGCATTATGGGGAGATCTCTTTTGACGAATTCCTACTGGAATGTGAAAGTCATTTTGGATCAGACTTGCGATTCCCCAATATGTGATCAATTTCATATCATTATAAGAAATACAGCGACAATCTGAGTATTTGTTTATTCCAGCGGAGGTTTTGAATGATGAAGGATCAGAAAATGTCAGCGAAATACAATTCACATAATACTTTCTTCGTTCATTGAGAGAAATATCGTTGTGTGTAAAGAATGAATTGTATTATAAATTGTACACTCACATCTATACAATTTTAATATTCAATGATTTATCTATTAACTTAGGTAAGTAAGGAATGATAGGGCAGATTAAACTAGACAATTGCATATATTCAATTTATTACTAGACATGATACCCATTACCAAATAACCCTTTCGTTTATCTAGCCATGAAAACTGTTGATTTAGCAAGTCGTATGCGATATACCACTACCACCTCGTAGAAATGGTCCTAAAAGATTGTCAATTTAATGCTAATGGTGAATTGAAGTAAGAGAAAAATATATCAGACTACTGTTTCTGCATTGAATGATCTTTGTATGAAGAGGCACAATGAAAGATTGTAGTAGTTCTATTATTTACTCCAAGGTTCATCTTGTCTGTTGTCTGAAAATTGATATAAATTTACTCATTGCCAAAAAGTGAATGCATAGGTCACAAATCTTTTCCACAGAAATCGTATTGCTTATCAAAGTCTCTCCCATGTAGAATTATAATATGGTTTGCTTTCACTGCACCCCTTCACAGCTAGTAAATTGCTCATTATCGATTGTTTCAATGAATCTTTTTGTATTAGGAGTCGTAAGATACCCTCTATACAACCCTGTCTCTTGAAGTCTACTCGATTGACAATTTTTCCCGTTCAAATCCACTTTGGCACTAGTCTTATAACTAGCTTCACTTAATACGATTGTGTTCTTCTCACACGGCAGCACTAAATTTATATAAAGGAATTGATCTATTGAACTTTCTCAATCCTTTCAAACTGACGACGTTCAACATACGTCTTTCACAGTAGCTCATTTACGTAACAATGGCATCTCAACGCCTCCCTCCTATACCAAATGCCTTTCCGCCAAAGGATATTCCAGCAATCAAAGTAATGTTAACTCATCTATGCCACCAAAACAAATTCTCCCCCGGCATCATCCGAATCTCCGAAATAAAAAGCGGTAGCAAGAACAATATCATATTATTTACATGGATTCTAACCACAATTCCCCTTGGTAGTCGCATGGCCCCTTGTATGCACTATGTCTTGCGGACCCCGAAAATGCAAGGAGCAATCCCCGACCTTTGGATCCTGAGAACCGCCGCTTTCGATTTCATCTCCGCCAAGCACTTTGAAGTTCCCAAACTATACGCTTATGATGCTAGATGCGGTAACGCCATCAGATCTCCGTATATTATACAGCAACAAGTGGAAGGGTACACCTTACTGGAAAAATATCGTGTACTATACCACACTTATCTCACATACGACCATTACAACCCATGTTCTGATTACGGAGAAGCTGCATCTATCATTTCCATGTATATTGAGAGACAAGAATTGGCGTATCAATTTGAGTATTACGGTACTCTTCAGCCCGTTTCAGGAATGGCTCTCCAGAGTTCCATTCCTGATAGGGTCAAGGATCGAATTGGCTTAGATGTTAAACCATTCATGAATACACTATCCATGAAAGCTAATTCAAAGGCTATCGATTTCATACTCGAATTACTATTTACGTCGGAGTCCCAGAAGCGAAATCCGGAGCAGGAAGTTAAATATCGGAAGATTCGCCACATCGCTTTATGTATCAAGGTTTTGGACAACAATGAAATTTATCGTGCTGCTCACAAACCCGAACCATCTGTTCTTTGGCATCCGAATTTCCAGCCCAGCAAAATAATGATGACTGCTACGCCGTACAAAAAAGACGTATCCGGCGTATTGAACGACGACCCCACCCTAAAGGAATCTTACAAACTAGAAGCGGTACTAGGGTGGGAAGGTGTCATGACACTCCCTCGTATTATGACTCGATGCCCTCCTTATTTTTGTTGGGGAGAAGGTCCTCAAGTACACTTGGCAGACAAGTGTTTATGGAAATATACTTGCGTCGATGAGATGATAGAAGAGGGTCTACCTGGATGGTGCGAAGATGCTTATGGAGAGATGTCGAGGATTGTTAGGGCGTTGGGGTTTTATGCATTGTTTGGTGTGGATTTTGAATGGTATGAACTTCCTTTTGAGGTTTTGATAGATGCATGGGCGCGTATCGATCCTGAAATGAGGAATTTGGAGTATGCAACTAAGTAGGGATTTGCGTGTTTTTGAAGGAGTTGTAATGTCTCTTTTGATGGATCGGCAGATGTGTGGGTAGGTCGGTGTTACGAATGACTGTGAGTCCATACTGCACTGTCGGATCATACTGGTTAGTGGATTTACTTAAGATAATAGTATACTTACATCATTAGTCTTATCTAGAATCAAATTCTGGATAAGGACTTTTGAACTATATAATGATACAATGATATTATTTTCAATTTGATGTTGAGCGGTTGGCTTTGTCAGATGATTCGATGTAATATTTTGATTAGTATGATAATATGACGGATCAAAGGGCTGGTGAGATGAATCCGGGTGTATGTAGAGAAATCATACACTATCAAACAACAAATCATGTCTAGCACCTCTTGCATATCAACCTAAGTTACAACACCATACTACATAATTAGTCATCAGCATTCGCAATTCCTTAATAGGATAGAGACCGTAACCAAGCATTTATGGCGGTAGTGACAAGTATCGAGTGCATACACCCAAATAAACAATACTAAATGATATCATGATGAAACGCGGTATCATTTGTACGACTAAGCACTACGGCCTCTTGAGAAATGAGCTAAATTTCGGTATGTCAAGATCCAGTACAGTATTCAAGTATTCATCAATCTAGAATGATTCCCATGAGTTGATTAATCAAAACACCTTCTGCAAAATGTTACAGACGAAGCTCTACGTGGAATTCACGCTGACTATCTCGTCTAATAACATAAGCGAGAAAGTCACAAATGCATACGTTATCCCCGTATATATCATTCTCAACCCGTAATGAGCAACTATTTAAAGTATCCGAAAATTCAAAGAGCCGTAAGTGCATAGAGAGAGATCTCATACCGTGCACCCTTCTCTGACCTGTTCTAAGAGTTCAAAACAGTCTCTTCGCTTGACAACCGTATTCAACAAATCACTACGGCTATGATGAGGCTAATTAGATACTGTCTATCGAAAAATTCGTGAAGACCGTATGAAGTGTATCCTATGAGAACATCTATTATATATGTACCATTATCTTCGAGGGAAATCTACTTCATCATATCTTGACTTGCTTCTTCCCAACCAAAGGACTTACCTTGCCACAAAGTCCTTGACCTTCACCACTTAAATAGCATAATTCTACCATCTTCCTCGAAATACTATTTTCACCACGTCTAAATCAAAGAAAATGGAATCTCAATTCCCCCAAAAATTAGCATTGACTAATAATTCCTTTCCACCACCCGGGGCATCCATTTCGACAATGATAGAGATTCTCAATAGATTTTGTCGCTCCATCGACTTCCCAATCCGCATTTTGGGGTGCTCTGTGAAAGCAGGAGGGAACAATACCATCATTCTCTGCTACGCAGTTTTCAACAGCCCCACACAAGCTACACCACCTTCTCCAATTTCCTGCATTCTACGAATCGGGAAATTACGATGGAACCTTCACGACTATATCGATCCGGGGATTTTAGAAATGGCCGCATTTCACCACGTCATGGGAAAGTCTTCACCACTCATCCCTTCCATCTACGCCTGGGACGCAACATGTAGGAATCTCCTCGGATGTCCCTATGTCATCCAACCACTCATCGATGGTCACGATATGCAGTCTCTATACACACCACTTGGTGGCTCACGCGATCTGATCTCAACGCGGATTAACTTCGCTTACGAAGTGGCGGGGTGCATCAAACACATTGAAAGTTTTCGATTCGAAAACTACGGCACTTTTGCAATCTCCCCACGAATGCCAGCAAAGTGTTCTGATCCAAGCTCTCCTCTTATTTCCGAGCGCATTGGATTATCGCCAATACCCTGGACTGGGAATCCATTCATGAGAAAAGATAGCAAAATCGGACATTTCCTGATCGATATCTTGTCTTCGCAATCGGACGATGCGAGAAGACCGTTGGCAGAGGAGAGACACAATATTCTTGTTTCAATGGCATATGGGTTGAATGAACTAGAACTCACACGTGGGTTGGAACAAGATCCCGAACCAGCTGTACTTTGGCATCCTGATTTTTGGCCGAGGAATATCATGATGAGGAAGAATCAGCAGGATGTTATGATCACTGGGGTTATTGATTGGGATGGTGTTATGGTTGTTCCGAGAATCATGACTCGTCGACCTCCTGTGTTTTTGTGGGATGAAGGGGATGATTTGTCGACATTTGAGAGAAATGTGATCAAACATCACTTTGATCAGAGGATCGAACAATTGTTGCCGGGGTATTGTGCGGATGCATATTCGGATTGGGGAAATATGACTAGAGCGATAGGAACGTATGCGTTGAAGGGTGTTGACTGGAATTATTGCCAGCTTTCTTTTGGTGTATTGTTGGATTTGTGGAATGAATTTGTGGGAAATGCATGAAATGCAATTTTTGAAAGGGTGGATTAGGAAGGAAGAGTTAATAATATCTTAGCTGGGTCGAGCTAGAGAGGCGAGGATATTGAATTACTGAGATGCTAGTCTGAGATGAACGAAGGAAGTTGCATTTAGGAACGGATGGGAAAGGGAGAAGAAGGGCGGGGAGGGGAGAGAGAAAAACAACTTTCAAGAATGGTAGGGGTTGGGGAGAGCACAAGGCTGTTGCTCAAGGAGTGAAACGGCGAGAGTAAGACTGATGATATCATATTTGCAGACAATGTAGAATTAAATCTGTGCAACCGAAGTTACCAAGAGGTATTTGGAGTTCAGAAACTAGTACTACGGATTAGCCATGATCTAATCTTCGCTTAACATGTATAGAAATGGAGTATCAAATATCTATTGTGATAAATCCTAAAGAATCTCTTTTCAATGCATGAAGAGGAAGTTTTAAGACGCTGGCATTGACCATTCAGGTCCATCAAAAGTTGTTCAACGTTTTTTCTTGTTATGATCAAGTCGTTGCTCGGATTATGTCAAGTAAACAAACAGCAACCAGATCTCATCACCACGCCGATGAGCTTTGAGCAAATTTTAACGTACACGAATTGCTTTTGTATAGTACATGAGAGATTGATAAAATAAACACAAAAAGACTCTCCATCCTACAACAATCAATTTGAACCTTGATTGATTGTACATCTATTTGTTTTCAATACTTTGACAGCTCTTTATTCTGTACTTGACGTTTCATTTCCAAACAAGCCCTCGAAATGTCGACTGATACCTTGAAAATCAACCCCTTCCCACCAATTTCGAACGGCATGGATAATGTTGCTGCTGCTATCGAGATGTTCTGCAGAAATATTAAATTTGGCCACGATATTCAAGACTGCGAGGTCAGACAGGGTGGAAATCACAACGTCATAATATTCTCCTATGTCCCCTTCGCATTCTCTGATCCAACCCGTCCACCACCATCCAATCAACGCCAATTCTGTGTCTTGCGTACCATAAAGGAAATATTTAAGGATTCTTCAGACATGGCGTGCGAAAATACAAAAAGAACCGTGGCGGCAATGCACAGCTACGGAGAAGGAGGCACACATACATCCAAACTCCCTATACCTGCCGTTCTTGCCTATGATGCGATGTATTATAATGCGATTGGATGTCCCTACATCATACAACGAAGAGCCGCAGGAAACGATTTGCAAAAATGGTACGAAGATCTCAATGCGGCGGTTCCGGCTGATGGACCGTATGATTTGACGGAAAGGTTGAAAATTGCCGAGGAAGTGGCAGTTTTTATTGCAAATATGGAAAATAGTTTCCAGTTCCAGGAGTATGGAGATTTGATCCATGGAGCGAGTATGCCGGATAAGAATATGGCGTTTTCAGGGGAGGAAATGGAGATGAGAATCAGAGGACCATATGTTGGTGACGTGCAGATTCCTGGTTCATTAAATCATATTGATTTTTTTGAGAGTCTAATCAGAGCTCGTATTGCAAAAACAGGGATTTCTCAGGCTGCATACGAGGAGTTGGCGAAGTTAAAGAAAATCTTCGAGCAGATGAAAGAATGGGAGCTTTTGGATAAGTTCAGCACCGTGCCTACGCTCTACCATCGGGATCTCTATGCGCGAAATGTCATTTTTGATGGGACGGATGGAGAGATGAAGTTGACGGCAGTGATTGATTGGGATGAGACGATGGTTGTGAGTTATATATGAATTTTCACTCAGGAAACTTAAACGAGAGCTTTAGAATGTACCCAGCTAACCTCCGTCCATCTATCCAGCTTCCCCGGATCATGACGCGCGAACCACCTTGTTGGCTCTGGACAAATAAGATGCGTAACAAAAAGCACCGCGGAGTCATCAAAAGACATTTCTATGAACACATCGAGCGATTACTTCCGGGATATAAAGAGGATGCGGAGGGAGAAGACGCGAAAATTGTGAGGGCATTGTATGTGTATGCGTTCTGGGGACCGAAGTACGGATATCACTCTGAGCTCTCTTTTGCGGAACTGCTGAAGGAATATGTTGAGATGTGGGCGGAGGACATGTTTGAGGGGTGGTAGAGTGGAGTGTGGGGTGGCGGAGGGGATGAGTGCGTGCGCCTTAACTCATTATAATCGTGATAGCCAGGAAGGCGATCTGAGAGGGAGGAGTAGTTACTTCATGTAGTGACTTGTGGATAGTTATTCTCATATTTCAGTTCTTCTGACACAGACGATAAGAGATATCAATGGATCTTCAGATTCTACTTCTATCTTGAGACTTGAGTATCCACAGGCTATTCTTCGAGTTAGTTGTGAAGACATGGGCATAAAACGAAATAAAAATATTCTAGTTCAAGCACAAATCGTGGATATTTTGAGAGTAATAGGTATTATTTATCGGTCTCTGTGTTGCATATCTCTGCTTTAGCTTTATTGTGTTTAGTTGATCCTCCAATACCGTACCACGGAGCTTAAGTCTATTATTCCTACTAATCCAACCTCAGACAACAGATTTGGCCGACCTTCAAGTGTGAAAATAGACTTATCTTGTAGTCTCTGCGTGTCAGGGATCTCAGTCTGTATAACCTATCTAAGTACTTGATACGTTGATTTAGCGTTGGCATCTACTTAGTTGATAAGTGTCAAGTACATTAGTCTATTATTGCTGTAAATGTTCTCGATCCTTATTCATTACAGAAAGCTAGTACATATATAAAGAAGCACTAGCGCCCCACTAGCTAATACAATGCCCACTATGATCATATGATCGATATTCTGACCGTTGGTATTCTTACTTTCTAACCAAATGCAAGAATACATCACTTTCCATCCATCATTATCACTGTCTAGCGTCACCTAGACGAGTAGGCGTTAGTGGTAAGAACCAGAGACAATTTGAACACGTACCAAGCAACTCTCTGTCCTGTGGAACTGTAGCGAGGAAGACCAAATGTACCCTCCAGTCTAATTCTTCTCCACCCACAAATTTCTCACCTAGACCAGCCCAACACATGGCGATACAAAGAAACCTGCCTCGCCCCATCACATATCCAATATCCAAAGAACCCAAATTACCTAGCTATCCATGGATCCTCAAGTCCCAGTCCGAAAGATAAAAGTCGATCCGTACCATGACCTTATTTATGAATCCTCAACATCGCAAATATAAAACACATACATTGATACTGATACGAGATATTGTCCCAGAGAAGTTTATGGTTATATAGCCGATGGCTTGCGGATTGCTTTGCTCTTCTTTCCTTGGACTGCGAAGATTTTGATTGATACTGAGGTATACAAATACTTTGATTGTTCATTGTATAGACTCCACCCCGTCCCTCTCCCTCTCCCTCTCCCTCTCCCTCTCTCCTCCAACCGCATCCAACCCCTAAAACCCCAACTAACCCCAACCAACTCCCATCAAACCTCCATCTATATACTAATCCAGCAATTATATTATCCAAAAATCTAACAATCTAACAATCTAACAATCTAACAATCCAACAATCTAACAATCTAACAATCCAACAATCCAACAATCCAACAATCCAACAACCTAACAAGCATACCTAGATAACTCCCATCCATCCACTCCATCCACTCCATCCACTCCATCCACTCCACCCACTCCAGCCATTCCACCTAGCAATGTTTCCGCTTGGAATTAAAAATAAAGCATTGGACTATTATATACCTACCTACATACTCGAGTACATACCTACCTACCTACCTACCCAGATACTCATCTATCCATCTTTCCATCCATCGATCCAGATTCCAAACCTAAAATCTCAACCCTTCATTATCGATCATCAAATATCAAATATCAAACATCATACTCCCGAACCTTCATCATTATCCTTCACCCTTTACACACTTCGCCATGGACACAACAGCTTGCTACCTGTCTCCCTATCAATCACAAAAATCTATTCCTCATTCTATCAAAAAAAAAAAAGAGATTCCAAAACTTCATTTCGCTTCGCTATCGTATCAATTCGTCTATATACAAGTCAACAAGCAGCCCCATCCACCCCCATTTCATATCAACCCATACTCGGCACATCTCAAACCATCATCCACTCTACTCCACCCCTCGTCTATACAAAATGCCTCCTCCATTTCCCAATGCATTTGCCGTAGACAATCTGACCACAAACAATCAAGGCATCTCAAAAACACGCCACGCTCCGCTCCAATCACTCACGCAAATACGCTTCACAACATTCATTAATAACAACCACCAACTACCCTAAAAGCATTAAACCAAATCTCCTAATTGTAAACTAGTAAACCAACTCTTCATGTTTTATGCATGCATGTATTCAAAGAACGCCCCTAATCAATCCAAATCCAATCGCATTGTACAAAAGTTGGTACTGAGCAATGTAACCTCTCCCAAAATCAAACTTGCTCCTCTCCTCATCCCGATCAATAACGAGCTGATCTTCTATCACGCCCTTGTTGAGGTGCAGTATGTGGATTATCTCCATCAAAAAGATCTTGCAAATAAGCACTTGGCGCCCTAACATGTCCATCATTATGTCTCGATTCCAATGTACTGGATTCGGAATGAGTATTATGACCGGGACTACCAGGTGGAGATTGATTTCCTCTTGCATATCCTTGTGGCGTGAGATTTGACATATTAATACTTTGTCTATCACCTGGATATGCTCCTGGGAGTGCATTTCCTGCTGCATAATAACCTGCTGGAAGATAACTCGAAGCACGATTTCCTGGGGTATTGCCACCAGCGAGAGCCGTAGGACTAAAGAATAAAGATGTTTGAGATGGTGGTGCGTTAGCAGTGGTTGGTCTCTTCTTGCCACTTTTTCCACCCAATCCTCCTCCTCCTAGTGAAAGAGTTGAATCTTTATCGGCATATTTGTAAAATGGTGCTGGTGGAGCTTGAAACAATTTCTTTTTATCCACATGGCTCGGTTGTCTAGCTGCGCGTTTGACTGATCTATGTAACGCCCATGCGACCATCATACGCCAAGCCAAAACAGATAGGGCCATGAATCCGAGAACTGCGCCGACTGCAATAAAAACCGTACCTTCGGGATAACTTGATTCTTTCATGAATGGCGCATTTGAGGTTGGAGGAACAGCAGCCGTTGGAATTGTGTATGCTCCAGCCAATGTTGGTAGAGCGGAAGTTGAAGTTCCTTTACCCGTTGATGTAGATCCACCTGTAATTACGGCAATCGATTGCGCTGTTGTCGAGGCTGTGTCACTGGAGGTTGTGGTTTTCGTTGAGGCTGCAGCGGCTGAAGATTCCGAAGCTGCCACACTGGAAAGATTGGGTAAATCTGAAGTCGCTGTTGTAGCCGCTGTTGTGGTAGTTGCTGCCATGATTGGCATAACAAACAGTGAAACTGCAAAAGCAGCAGATGCTACTGATTGATTGAATCGCATTTTGTATATATTATAATTCGTGTTTGAGAAGAAATCGTTGGTGCTCGTGATAGAAAGTTGAGGTTATACACTCCAACTGAATCGAATGTTGTCGCAGCGACCGGTCGATCGAAGAATTGCGTTCCTAGGGGAAATGATTTGAAACCCGAGTTATGTTTGCTTCGAATCCTCCTCCCAAAAGTCGAATCTTGATTCAGTTCCCAGTTCTAGAATTGTTCTCTGGTCGCAAGAATTCTTCCAAAGTCGATCACGACGTTAAGTTTGTCGTTGTGCAGCAGGAAATTGATGGTTGAGAATGGATCCTCGAATTCAGTAGTGGAACAGAGTAATTAATCTTTACAAGGATATCCAAATCTATGGGGTATGTTTGATGTTATGCAAAGAAGGATGAGTGGTAATTAAGGAATTAATGACAAGAGGATCAAAGCCGTGACCGATATAATAGCATAGCAAGGAGAATGCAATAACGAATGGAAGAAAAGCAAGCAATATTGAATAAATGAAGTTATTCAAAGATTTGTTGAGTTGGTGGCTGTAATTGTAGATGTAGTGGTGGTTGTACTCATTCATAGTCTCATCAGTCAATAAGAGAAGAATTCAATCAACTCAAATGATCTTATTTTGATTATGTAATTCTCGTATTTTGCCTAACTAGGTGAGTACCTATTGGCTCTTCCTTTCTTATTTCTGACCTTTCTCTCCCTCTTGCCTCTTGCTTCTCTCCTCTCTTCGTGTTCCTGCATTCCCCAGTCAAAGAATTATACATGACACATGACATGACTTAGACAGAAGTTAATTCAAATTCCTTAAAATGGATTAGTAAATTACTTAAATTATGGATAAAATGTAAACTAACCGCTTGATCTGCTCCATCACCTATAAATAGTGATGAAGAGTCACTAGGGGCAACAATACTAGGTAAGTAGGTACTTAGGTAATCATCCGTGATGGATGAAAGAGTAAGCAAGCACGTGTTAAAACTAGGTACCTAGTCGGTATCTAGCAGCTCCCTAGTCTTCAAGGCGGTGAAAAGATCAATTTGGCAAAATTATCGAAATTTATCATTTTTTGCTTGATTGTCGTAGATACTTATTATCGAGAACATACCTCCGTCAACTTACCCAAACATTCCATCTTGTCGCAACCTACACAACCATATATTAATTGATCGCGCATATATTCAAATCGTGTAAACAATGGGTAAAGCAGCTAAAACCCGCAAATTTGGTGCTGTAAGTATTCTTCTTCCATTTCACACACCTCTTATCGATTAATCCATCTTACTTACATTTCCCCTCTTCCCCTCAGGTCAAACGAGTAATCGGACAACGAGATGCGCGTCTAAAGGAAAATAAAGATAAAGGAGAAGAAGGAGCCAATAAACCCAAGGAACTTGTTCGAGAAGCGTATGCTATACCACCTCTATTCGCACAATTCATTCACTAATGACGTATCATATCTAGACCTCAAGTCTCATCCGCTCTCTTCTTTCAATACAACGAAGCTCTCGTCCCTCCATATTCTATCCTCATTGATACCAATTTTCTCTCTCATACCGTTCAACGCAAACTTCCTCTTCTGGAAACCCTCATGGATTGTCTCTACGCCAAATGTATTCCCATCATCACTTCCTGCGTCATGGCCGAATTGGAAAAACTCGGTCCAAGATATCGTATCGCCCTTCGAATTGCGCGTGATGAGAGATGGCAAAGGTTACAATGTGATCATAAGGGTGTTTATGCGGATGATTGTATTGTGGACCGAGTACAAAAGCATAAGATTTACATTGTGGCAACGAACGATAGGGAATTGAAGAGAAGAGTTAGAAAGGTTCCTGGTGTGCCCATTATGAGTGTGGCAAGAGGAAAGTATGTCATTGAGAGATTACCAGATGCTCCAGAGAAGTAGAGTCTCTTTCAAGATGACAGGATCATGGTAGCTGGGTTAATGCATATCCGGAAGTCTGGCGTTCAGGAAAAGGGAATCAAAATTCTTTAAAGATATTGGGAATGGCTTGGGGAAATAGTATGGAACCTCATATACTCGAGTGTCCCGAATTTTATGTATTTCAAATGTATAGTTTTATGAAATACTATTTAAAATTGAAAACACGTGCTGTACCCTATCATTCGATGGCTGATATCAAGATCCCTAGAGATCGTGTCACTATTATGTGGATGGTTTCATCACAAAGATATCACATCAAACCTTCTCAGGCATGTAAGCGAATGCCCCCTTTATCACCAAAGTCCCATCAGCACATCCGAATAGTCGATACCATTAAAAGACTACCACTACAAACCTACCACATTGCTTGACATCTATTCCTCAGCTTACAAAGTCCGATCACCATCCTTCTCCCCAAAAAAGACACCAAGCAATCCTCTCCAAACCAACCATCTTATCTCACCTCAATCTATTTTCCATACCCCTTCATCTCACTATATCAAGCTCAGCGGTCATTATATCCTATACCTATGATATGCACGAGTCCTCTTCTCTCTTCCCGTCCCTCATATTCCCACAATACAATATAGATAGATAGCTACCCTCTCCTACCATCCTCTCCCTTCCACTAAATCAACAAGTCATCCGATATCGAAGATTCAAGATCAAAATTGCCATCAAAACCAATAACTACACTTCTGCCGTCCCCAAAACATTATATACCATACAAAAATCTCCTAACATATCATACTCTGTGGTAAGATAAGATATATGTTTCCACGTTTATATGACTATTCTATACGACTATTCTGTACATACCTATATATATCCATCTAATACCTATTTTCCTCACCATAAAATAACAATATCCAGTTTCTGAACATTCTCTAGAACATTCTCTACAGATGTATCTAGCTTCCGGTCATCTGAGTTTCATTCGCGTTGGCATTCGCATTTCTATTCGCATCTTCATGTGCCAAATATTTATCTCCATCTCTATCTCCATCTCTATCCCCAGATCGAATTCAATCAAACTAAACTAAACTCCACGGCCTCCGGAGAATCTAATACATACAATACATGCCTGTAAGTATCTGCCCATCCATCCAGGTTCCAATTCCACCCCTTAGATCTCAAAGTCTTAGAAACTCGTAGCGCTTCCACCCTCTCTCCCTTTCCCTATTTTTTCCCACCTTTCTGCCTTTCTTGTCTTCCCTCCCTGCTCTTAGTTTTAATCCCAACCCAAAGCATCTCACCCCTATCTCAACACTCTCTCTTGAGTCTTCAAGACCGGACCGGATCGGACCCTTACAAAACTAATCCATCAATCAATCAAATGATCGACCAATCGACAAGCAAGCAAGTAAGCAAGCAAGCAAAAAACAACTGAACAGAATTGTCCTTCGTTCACAGTTGCGTATGCACTGTCACACCTATTCCACCTCTTTCGACGAATTCCATTTCCTTTATTCATCCTCAAAGCTCCAAGCTCCGAATTTCTAATCTCCAAACCCCCAATCACCAAGCTCCGAACCTCTAACCTCCAAACCCAGAAACACGAAACCATTCATTACCTCCTCAGTGTCTCCCTTTTACCCCCTTTCCCTCTCCCTCCCTCCTTTCCCCTCTCTATTCCCTCATCTCCTATCTCCCTTCCTGCAAAAACCACAACCCGAACAAACGATTTACTTTCCAACTTTCCATAACCCCTTCCAATCCATACACACATACACATATACATCCATCCCCTCAATCCGCGCACCTCAATCCGCAGACCTCAATCCCCTCCACTCCTCCTAATCCCCTCCATGCGCACACCTCACCAACCTCCTCAATACACAATACACCCCCACACACCCAAATCCCCAATCCCCAAAACCCAAACCACCCCAAAAAAACCAAGCCTCCCAATCAAAACCAACACCATTGAAACTACAAGAAATAGAGTAGTATAGGTACCTAAATATCTACAGTAGATGCAGGAGCAAGATATAAAATACAAGTACTGCTTGGCATGGAAGTCCTGAGATATTTTACTAATGCGTGGTTGACACTAGTAGATGTTCAGACCATATCATATCATAGTAGGGAAGATATCGAGAATTTCTACATCGCACACGAAAAGAGAAAGGAAAGCACGCAAACAAGAAAAAAAAACACCTCAGCTTCTCCATTTATTTCTCACATTCCATTCATCACAAGAAAAACGAAGGAAGCAAGTTCAGAAATCCCATACCATTTATTGAATACCCATGCATACTTTATACATACAAAATCATACACTAGCTTTACTTCGCAAAAACTCCAATTCCAATCCATCCATCCCTTTCCTTTCCACAATCAATCTTTCCTCTCCTTCCTAGCGTCTGCACCCGAAAATTACTGCTGTTTCTTTTGCGCAGATGGTCCCATCTCCTTATCAAATGCTCCATATGAAACTTGGAGACTGGATACTGCGCTCAATCCCACATACAAGATACTAAGAAGGAGGATACCAACTACTAAACCCATGAAGATACCAGGGGTAAAGTATTGATATTTCTCAAATAGTGGTCTACGGTCTGGTTCGGTGGTTGAATTGTCTGCTCTGATTCTGAAATCTCGCTTCAAATCGATATGGGAAGTGGAATCAAACTCCGCATTATAAACTGGCAATTCGGAAATTTGTTGTTCGAGGACAGAGCCGACAGGAGTAGTGGTTAAAATGACGGTGTATTCTGGACCACTGGGGAGATGTTGGTAGTAAACATTGTTGAGCATGTAATCTACGTATGTGTTAGTTGTGAATACTTACTTGTACTTCGAACGAGCACAAACCTATATCATTGAATTTCTCAGCCCTTGCCACTTTCTCCGTCGACAATGCATCAAATTGTGATACAATGACACCGTTTCCAGTGCCATCAGTGGACTCATGACCAACAATACGTCGTTCGATTTTCTGGCCGCACGTCTTCTCAATATATTCTGCCAATTCGCCAGCCATATTTCCATTTTCGTGCATAACATCCAGAACGCTATAAGTAGCCCGAACTCTTGAATCGGCAATAGCGGCTTTCATATGAGGAACGGATCCTGGAGCCGAGAAATCAGAGGCGGCGAGTGCATCTTGTTGGATAATGATGTAAACATCAGAGGGGCAAGCCGAAAGGAATTTTTTGGCATTCTGAAGAACTGATGAAGCGGTATCTAGTTCTTGACTCTCAATTTGCATCGAAGAAGGCAATCTGCCATTCTCACGTTAGTAACTACATGGCGATGAGCTGGTAGTTGGAAGTATAACTCACTCCGATGATGAGAATAAAAGGAAAGGTGATGTATCTTTAAATGCTTGCACTGCAGCAGCGCAGCATAATAGCGATCCAGCAATCGAATACCGCATCTTGACTCTGTGGTTGGAAAGTTGTGATGCGTGCGAGATGATCTTGTTGATGAAGCTGTTTCATTAAGCTTCGATAAGTGCAACCTTGAGCTCTCTACACGATTATGTAAGCAAACAGATATCTATCACCATTTCATGATTTACGTTCTTGGATATCTTCAGTTCTCAAATCTTCTTACATTTCAAGATCCAAATTTCAGCTGATATCTAAACCTCCACAAAAATCATATTGTATATTAAAGTTATTTAAGACTCTCATTAAGGGAAAACAAATACTTATTACCATCACCATTCACAACATTCTCATACTCCACTGACTAAGCCAAGGCGGTAAGATCTTACTGCCCAAATTATTCCTTCCCCAGGATTATATTAAATTCATCACGAAAAGACATCCAATTCCAAGTGCGCCGCAAGTCATCCCCCTCACAAATCAATCACCATGGAATCCTCATTCATAGTCAAGCCTCGTCCCAAGCGATCAGTCCTACCAGCGCACAAAAAGAAGAGAAAGTTCGACCACAAGATTGAAGAAATCAATTTCGATTTAAGTGCTCGCGAAGATTATTTAACTGGATTTCACAAACGAAAGGTTCAGAGAGCGAAGAAGGCTCAAGAGGAGGCAGAGAAGAAGGCTAGAGAAGAGAGAATTGTTATGAGGAAACAGGTTTGTTGTTTGATGCTTTGGGGATGATCATTGGCTAATCTCTTGATGTTTAGTTACGAGAAGAACGAAGAGCAGAGTTAAATGAGCATGTTAAAGCCGTGAATGCGTTATTAGAGGATGTGGAGGAGAGATTTGATGGCGGAGACGGGGATGAGTGGGGAGGGATAGAGGAAGAAGAAGCCGAGGAGGAAGCGCCAGAGTTGGTAGATCACGAAGAGGAATACATCGATGAAGATAAATACACAACGGTCACAGTCGAAGGAATAGAAATATCGAAAGATGGAATCAAGAGAACTGCGGATGAAGAGGATAGCGATGATGGTATACACGAGGCAAAGGGGAAGGTCATAAAAGAAGAAGAGAAGGTCAAGAAAGTTTGGCCCAAGAAACCACGGAAGAAGAAGTTTACATATGAGACCAAGGCGGAAAGGAAAATGACGAGACAAAAACAAAAGTCTGGGAGTAGAGCAGCAGCAGATGCGCGACGAGGTAATAATTAAAATGGAATCTATTAACAACTTCACAATCAGAACCCGCAGTAAAATTTGGTATGTGACTTCGATATCGATCGAGAAGCAAATCATGTAAAAACAGCGTACCACCGCCAGCGCATACGAGGCTTAACTGTAATTATTCCGCAACCCATGCACCTAAAAGCTCTAGAACAGAATGTCGACTGTGACATAGAAACCAATTTAAATGTTGCCAATCTCTGCTTGGAAGTCATCCAAGTCCTTTTGCACAGCAGCATACTTCTTGGCCATCTCCTCGAACTTTGCCTCCCATTGATCACGATCTTGCTCGAGCGCCTGGACCTTACGTTCGAAGTGACCGGCCTTAACATCGGTTTGACGGAGTCTAAGACACATGAAGGTCAGCTTATATTACTGTGGATATCAAGATGTGCACATGTGCAAAACTTATGAAGCAACCCCCTATTTTTGTAGGAATTTCAGGATTTCAATCACTTACTTGTCATTTGTCTCGCGGAGATTCTTGTCAGCTTCCTCGGCTTCCTCCTCCAAAAGTTGTAATCTTCGTTGAAGAGTCTCGTTCTGTGTACCGTGTTGACTGCCTTCCTCTGCCACAGCCTTGGCCTCCTTAATCCCGCTTTCTAACTTCTCAACTTCGGTTTCCAACAAGTTGTTCTTGTGTGTGAGGGATGTGATTTCTTGCTCCTTTTGGAGGTTCTCTTGCTCAAGAACCTTGACCTTTTCTTGAAGCTCTTGAACCTTTGCGGTAGCTTCATCGGCCTCGATGCGGAGGGTGTTCATTTTCTAAGAAGACAGAAATCAGCATCTTTCCTTCAAGATCATTCGAAAGCAGTGTCGGCGATTGTATCCGGATGAAAAGGGGAATTTCGTTGACTGGAGGGACAAATGGCGGGGTTAGTTTCGTTGACCATACTTACTTCCTTGATGCGATCCATTTTGAAGGTTTATTTGTTGGTTAACACGATTTGGTGAGGTTGAATTTGGAAAGGTTTGATATCACAAAGAATATCTTTATGGTTGATGTCGATGGTATGAAAGAAGTTGAAGAAGTTGCGACTGTTTGAGATGTTGCAGATAGTAGGTAAAGGGTGAGAGACCAAAGAGAGTATTATTGCCAACCGAACATAAACAGGGGTGAATGGTTGGTCTGTGAGCAAGGGGCTCACGGGGCTGTATAATCAAAAATGGGAAGAGCTCTGGGTATGACAGAGTTGCCGTAGAAACAAATCAAAATAAATGTCAAGCACGGAAACTTTAATCTTTACTCTGTAAACCGAAATTTACATATACGTCGACAAACACAACCAATTTATTATACATTCTAATGTAATACAGATTCTCAAGATAAATCACATTAACCATCATTGCACAGGATAATAAGTCAATATGTTTGCAGCTAGGGATCAAGAGAATTTGATCCATGGTCATCAACAAGTCGCTGCCTCGAAACCCCTCAATCAAGGCACTAGAAGTTTACAACCAAAGACGCCAGGAAACAAATTCCCAAAGACACCATTGAAGGTTCCATTGAATGACGAGAACGCGCCAGGAGGATTCGGTGGGAAAGGATCTGTACTAGGTACAAAAAGCAAGGGCTTAGGTGGAAAAGATGCGACCTTTGATAAGAATGCTTTTGTTACACCCGTGGGTAAGAATTTTCCACTGCATAATAATAGGATCAATAACTAATTCATATTAGGTCCTCGCAATCGAGCTCCCCTTGGTATGAAAACTACGAATGCGAAAACCAAAGTATTCCAAACTCCCGTTGGCCCTGCACCTGAGAAGGACCTCGAAAAGACTGTATCAAAACAAACGAGTGCTCGCAGACCCAAGCATAAGGTTTCGGAGAAGATTAAGATCGATGTACATGGAGATGAGAATCCTCTAGATGATGTGGAAGTCGAATACATGCCACCAAGACCCAAGGATCTACCATATGATTCGGATACCTTCCCTACTGGTTGCCTCAACTACGATATGCTCAAGCCAGAAAACCTTACCAAGGGAGCGCTAGGCGAATTCTATAACACCAATGATAAGGCCGGAAGATCAAAACTCGAGCGGGATTTAGAACGGTCTTCAGTTGAGCGCGCGAAAAAGACGGATGCGCAAATAATGGCATCAATGGAAGAGGATTGGACTGTTGGTGATGTTCCTGAAACATTCAAAAATTTGAAAAGGAAAGCATCAACGAAGCAAACCAAGGCTACAGTTGCCACAGAGCAGAGACCAAAGGCTCCTATCGCAACCAGAGGTCCTTCGGCAGTCGCATCTCGTCGAGCAGCATCCGCTTTATCAACTCTCCCAAGATCTGCAATGGAGCCTTACAAGAGACCATCCACAGCTATTCCAAGACCAACTTCATCACTCTTGAGAGGTAGAAAGACACCAACTTTTGCTCCTGTCACGAATAACACTATGCGTGCCACAGCTGCCACAGCTACATCTAGAAGTACCATTGGTTATACCAAGGGTAGATCAGCTTCTAATATTCTTCAAAAGAAGGATGCTCCACCTCTCACGCTGAAGAGAACAAATACTTTACCTCGCTCGACTAGCAATCTTTCCCATGACTCAGATAGTACCATTACTCCCGCCCGTTTTGCCCAGAAAGAAAATGTGTCGAATCCAGAGTACAAGAAATTGGATTTCTTGAGTGCCTTTGAAGTTGACGATGAGGACTTGGAACCAGCTTTGAAATGTGGTTTGCCAGAATGTTTGATTAAATTCGATGAGGATGAAGAGGATTTTGTTTTGACAATTGGAGGTACGGAATAGGGGTTTTTTTCATTTGTATCGAAAATCTCGATCTTGGTTTTGGTTGTATTATGATGACTATGGTGTTATGAAAGGTGTGAAAATGGAGTACGGATGGACAAGATACCACAACTTGTATACCTTTACCTAGGTGTTACATGGTATACATTATTTTTCTCTTATGTTATTTGGTGCGATGCGGTACGATTACTATATTTGTATGATATGATACATTGGGGAAGGCATTCTTTAGGCTATAAGTTAGAGAGTAGTAATTAGGACTTGTATATGACTTTTCAATCACTTTGCGTCTTTTTATGTCCTTGTAATTATGAATGGCTCACTTCTACATATGGAATAGGATAGGGTTCGATTCGACATGGCGATAAATATGCCATGATGAAATGTGTTTCCCATTGTTTTCCTCTGCCTCAAAACCCTTACATAGCATCGATCGGCTAACAGCAGGTTCGTGGAACAACAACTGCGTGATGGTACAATGAAATAGGCACTGCATATCTATCTACCTATCAAAATCTTGGGCTGATCCCATATTCTGTATCTGAAGTGTGATGATATGTGATGAAAAATATTGCATCAACAAGTGAGCTTGAAGATTGCATGATACTACTGATGACATTACGAGTACCTAGATATGCTATAACCTTCATTCGACATCATGTCTCGATTCTAACAGTAGAAGCTTGATTCAAGGATAAAATAAATTATACATGTCAATGGCTCCTCATATATATCCATGTACCTGCGTGTAGTACAATCTTTCACTGGAGTAGAAGCACGTGCAATTGTGTACCGAGGGAGTGAAGAAATGTAACGAAAAGTAATAAGGGGTTCGTATTGTGTCATCTATTTGATTGACAACACCACCAAGATGTAAATGTATTCTCGAATATCATACGTGTTAGAGGAATATGAGGGTTTTCTGGAATTTGGGGGCTGTTGAAATTGTTAGTAAGTGATTGGATAGGGCTTCGCTGGCTCTTTGCTTCCTAGACAAAGTAGGTGTTTCGTGATATTGATAGTTAAGTAGAAAAGTGACGCTCCGCTGGCTCTCCGACTCTCCGAGGGCCATTTCCATGGAGGCAGACTAATTAGAATGAGATACTCAGGAATATCTGGAAGGTAGATAGAAATTTTCAATTTGGAATTCTCCCACATCTTTAGACACTGCAGATCTGAATCTCGAAGCAGGCTATTTCAGCCGGATAATCATGGTATATGTGAGTCGCTCGAATATTATTATGGTAGCTATGTGCCACCTTTTAGTCATAGCCTTCATCTCTTTAAGTACTTTTTGTACTGAAAACGGATTCATTGTTGTGCCTTTCAAGCGAATAGAGTAGGCGTACAGTCAACACCAACACATTGAATAGAGTGAATAGTAACATAAAGATATTAATAGCAAGATTCGAAGTAACGAACAGTATAGAATTGACTAATAGGAAATCATTATATGGCATTGAATAATCAGTACAATTAAATATCAATTTGTATAAGTTGTTGGCTACTTATAATTAGCACATGATATCAAAGTTAACCATCACGTTGACCTGCCATCTCCTTGATTTCTTACGTAATCTCCTAATTGAGTCAAGCGTCACTATTTTCTAGAATCTAACCTATTGGGAAAGCGAGAAATTGATAGTATCGAAACCTCAACTCATCAAACCCTCCATTTCATCAACTTCAACTATACATATTCGCGAAATTACCAACCCCCAACGTCAAAAGATAGATCTCATATCTGTCGCACAACACTTAATTTTGATCTGCCAATATTCGCACATCGATATCGACGAGTTATTCTATACTTTTATCATCATATAAGTATCGGCAATACTTGGTCAAATCTGTTCCGAGGGAATTGAATCGCGTCATTACCAACCGCTTCTTGCGCGTATTGGCCATCTGCCATTAACCCTTTTAATGCATGCAGTCGCACATTGATCTTTTACAAAGAGATGGTGGTTGGCAGAAGGAAGGAGAGGTAGATTAATACAGTCACACGATGTCTCGCGCATCTGGGGCGAGTTTCGCACAATTCTTTCCATCGGCTCCTCGAGCTGCGAAAGACAAAGCAAAGGAGAGGGAAAAGTCAAAGGCACAGCAGGCAGATTCGCCTACCACCCTTTCTGTCACTGATACCCAAATTAATGCGAAAGCCTTAACTGACAATGCTTCTATTACACGTCTTTCAGAAGATATATCAATTCCAATTGCGGATC